ATAATAGAGTACTTTAATATTTTTGTTAATACACACTTCCTTTTTTTTACTTTGAAAACTCTTTTTTCAACACTTTTATTAGGGCCACTAAGGAACCCCATGCCTCTAATTGTGTGGTTTTCTTCATGCGCCTAATTAAGGGTTAATAATAAATAACACAAGTCACTTATATATTAGTGACCTACAAAAAATTTTCTTTAAAAATACGCATACTTTTTAAAAATATTTGTTTCAACACATTTTGCAATAGGACTGCGCAATTATTAAATTTATTATAATTTATATTAATTGATTAATCGCACAATCTGCTTTTAAGAGCTCGGCGCTAAAAATTAAACACAACCTATAATAAGGGGAGATCAGCTATTTTCACAATTTCTTTAAAATAACCTTTAGTGTCCGAATGATTTACATTTCTGTTGTTGTCATATATTGAGCTATTCAACCTTGATAACATACTGTTTGATATTGGAAACGTTTTGCAGCAGAAACTATTAGCCTTCATATAACACTTTATTCGAACCATTGAATTAACATCATCCTATTTCGAATCTTAGTTTTTGTTAAATTCATTACGGAAAAAACGCGTTCAACAAAGCATGTGAGTGCGGCAAGGATAATAAAATGAATTTACTTATATTTCCAAACATTTCATTGCCTGTTGCGGTTTTCACTCCGTAAGCAATTATCCAAAATTCTGCAGAGTCGGATGGAATGGTTCTGAGAAAAGTTATTCCGGGAGAAAGGTAAAAGATTTAAATATTCACTTTCCGCTGCTTTTCTTTCCTTCAAAGCTAAATAGTGAATTGGCAGGTCCCTGAAACTCGCCATCTTTTGAGTCACACACTCTTCTGTTGACAAAATCAAAGCTTTTTTAAAAGTATTTAATTGACTAGGTAATCGTTTCAAAAGTTCTTCGATTAGGGTGATCAAAAGTTTTTTACAGTCTTTTAATATGATTTTTAAGTCAAGTTTATCACGCAGTTTATTAGCCTCTTCTGTAAAATTATCCTGGAAAACTAAGTTTTGTATATTTTTATAATTCGGAAAAATTTATTTGAAGGGAAAAAAATCGCCAAAAATCGACAATGGTGATTTCCTAAATTTTTACGCGCAAATATCCAAAAAAATCGCCAAATTGGCGCGAAATCGACAAATCTGGACACTCGTCCATACCATAACAAGAATTAGTTGTTAATTATTAAAAAAGAAAAATCCTCCTGTCACGGGTGGGACAAATTTTGTCACGGGTAGGACACGTACGAGTTTCTTCATGAAATGGAGCTTCTAGTGAGATCCATATCAAAGGGTTTAGGTATAAAAATTGTTAGAGGCCAAATACAAGATCAGTTGACCCACTTTTATCACAGTAGACGCACGATATACTGCTCCCTCAGGATCTATTTTAGGGGGCAATAATTATACCAAACGAAAGCTAGAAGTCGCCAGATTGATGTGTTAAAAAGGATGGGAGAATGGATTATTTGCAAACGCATAAGATTTTATATGCATTTTTCCAAATGCACTTCTGCACGGTGCATTTGATTGCAATGAAAGTTCGAATGTGCCTTAATGATTTTCAAGTTTCTTTAGACTAGCTGTTATCACGACGATAGCGATGTCTAACCTGCTGTTAGTTTTAACCAGACATTAAGTAATGGGCCCTAAAAGTGGCTGCAGTTGAGTTATTTTTGGAAAACTGATTTCATGGACAAATCAGGCTCAAATTTAGCTATTCTTTGGTGAAACCATAGAACGTCAGACAAAATCTTGTGTATCGATGTCTAATCAGAAAAGGGCATTAGAATAGTTGTACGCAGATACATATATCTTTGTCACTTAAAGGCTATTTTTGGATTGAATTTATAAGTTAGGCGAACTTCTAGATTTTCTTGGTTGGAATTTCTGAGAAAATTGTTAGTATTAACTTTTGGATTGTTGTTAAGCAACCCTCATAATAGAATTCTCTGACGTCTTTATGATAGTAATGTTTACCTTGACTTTTCGAGCTGACCACGCGAAATTGTTTACTACATCGCTTAGCCCAACAACAGTATTGTGGTGTTTAGTCAACCTGAACTTCAAAGTTTTGTGGCATTAAACATAGGTTTGAAACGTTAAACTTGGTTTCTTTTATTGTTAGGCACCATTAGAAATTATGAAATTATGAAATTATAGGAAAATCCCTAAAGTAGTAACTAAGCAGTACGAAGACTAAAACTTTTTTGTCACGGGTGGGACATGCAAAACCGTAGTGATTTCATCCCATTATATAAGATAAATGTCTATTTTACTTCAATGCCGTGTTGCTTCTTTGGGACGAAGAAAGATCGAGACATTTATTCCCCACTTCAAAAAAAATAATAACTTTGTAAATACTTGATTTCGCAGAGCCTTCTATATTAAAATATATTGCCGTATTCAATTACATTTCTAATGTTGAAGCTTTGAGTGCATTTACAGAGTAATAAAATAATATAACTCAATTTTTTCTTCGAAAATATGTACGTTAATTGTATGTATTTAGCATTGATTCATCAAGCATTCCATGTTCAATGAGTTACTTTATAAACACAAAGATTCACTTACTCATAGAATACCCCATTTAAATTTATGCTCGAAAGTTTGGAATATTTATGTATTTATTTTTGCTTTTAATTGATACTCAAAAAATTTAACACTAATTATTGGCATATCTAAGGCTGCTAAATAAAAATGTGTAATATATTAAGGTGTACTTAATCAAAAGTTTTTTATTGTATATTCATGAATTCATTTTATTTTTTGACTCTCAAAATAGTGGTTTTGGTCCATAATTGGACTAGTATTTTTCTGCTTCTTAATATATAAATCGAGATCCGGAGGGCTGGCTGCTGAACAGCGATCTTGTTTATGCGTTTTTATCTATTAAAGATGTCAATAAAAACCGATTACTCAACATACTTCAGATGACTTGAAATTTTGATAGAATTTTATTTACAGTATATTGAAAATTAATTCCTAGGGTCTTAAAGTACTCCCAACCTATGTATGTTGAAATTGCATTGTTGCAAGTATAAGTCAACATACTTCAGATGGGCTGTCCTTTTGACAGCACATTAGTAATATTATAACTAGATTAAATAAATATATACAGCCAGCCTATTCAGATGGTCACATCAAATGAAAAATGTCAAAAACGTCATTTCCGTGAGTGCGGGCTCGTGAAAGAAAACGTATACCGTTCAGATGCCATGGCGTATGAGTTATCTATCAACATCAATTTAGTCCGGTTGAAAGAAAAATTTCAAGACACTGTAATATTTCCTAATTATTAATTTATTTTTAAGCTTTCAACCAGTGTTGTCACTTCAGAAATTCAATTAGTGGTTGATTATCAATAAAAACAGTGGTAGATCTCAGGAAAAGTGTGGTAGAATATTTGTAGTAACGTAAAAATTTGCCAAAAAAAGATATATCAAACTATGAAGTAGTATTCAAATGAAGATAAACTGCATTCTTAGTTTTGTTCTATAGCGTCATTTTTTCGAGATATGTATTTGCCTACTAAGGTTCTCATTTTTATTGCCTTAGAAGGTACATACATATATCTTTGTCATAAAAAAGATATTATTCCTAATTTTTGCAATAAGTTCTTAAGTGGTGTTGTCTATGGAAATACTGTTGGTAAACAACTTCACAGGCGTATTCTCAGGCAATGTCGAGTCTCTAAGAAAATCGCCTCACGTAAGTGCAGATTATCATTCACAATACATTTTCTTGGCATTTTAATTCATATCGAGGAGAATTGACTGTTCAACTCTTATGAAAAAAAAACATTTTTCAAATTAGGTTAATAATTTTATTTCAGTAAAATTGTGGTAGTTTTTTAAAAAATGTGGTAGTTGTTGTAGAAGTGAAAAATTACCCAAAATGTGGTAGATCTACCACAAAGTGCCAATACTGCTTTCAACCTTTTATTCATTTACCATGGTTTGTTCTTTATCTGCCGAGTTTTGCAAACAATTGAAAATTCATACACTTTTACGGAAACAAAACAAATAACTACGTATATAAGAAGAAAGAGGGTTTGAACCCCCAAAACACCTACACGCGTTCACTCCTGGGTGTCTAGTGTATAGGCTATAAGGATTTGAAAGCATAAAATAACCCGGTTGAATTTTAATGGTAAAGTGTTTAAAACCTCAAAATTTCAAATTCGTTCTGAATGTACTTAATGTATTTTACCTGTCAGCCTACGAAATAATCTATAATCTTCTACCTACAATTTATGTATTTATGTAAGCTATGTACATATATACATACAATTTACGTATTTAAATAATAAATAGGTCGGTCTACTTTCAATTGATGTAATTTTTGATTCCAATTCATTTATTTCATGCGAAACTCAATTCGAATTGATCATGCAATTATAATTTCCATTCCATTCCTTAATTCCAGATGTTGCTGCAATGTTTCGTGATATGCCTCCTGGCAATGCCCGTTCTCACAGGTCCTGGTCGAATCTGCCCAATGGAGTGCACTTGCAAAATAGATGAACAAAATCGGCGGCAGGTTATTTGCACAAAAGGTAGGTAGCAAGGTCATTAAATTTAACTAACAAAACGGAAGAATAAAATATTTAACCAGATCAGATGGACAAATTCTCAAAAGTTTTCACATCGCATTGAGCATTTGTAATTTTGAGAAAATAAGATTTTTGAATGCACACATCTACATATTTGCATATTTATTGTAGTCTTTACCACAATCGCCGAATTGTTTTTATACCCGAGCGCACTTGTGCACAAGGGTATATTTACTTTGTTCACATAACGGTTGTTTGTAACAGCCAAAACGAATCGAGATAGATATAGACAAATCGCACACCGTCTTCAAAAGAGTCACAACTCAAAATTTGGCATTTTTGAAATGATGCGCTAAAAATGTACACAGAGCTTTTATTTACCTTTCAGCAAAAGCTGGAGAAAATTTTTGTTATAATTTCTTGAAAGACCTAAGGTAAAGTCGCCCTTGCCCATATGATTCGCATGGGCTACGAAATAGTTTTTCGTATTTTCTGACGAACCTATTATTTTGAGTTTTGACTCTTTTGAAGACGGTGTGCAAAATGTATACATAAATGCTCAGAGTGAATAGAGAAGTCGATTAAGCCATGTCTGTCTGTCCGTCTGTGTCTGTGCGTCCGACCGTGTACACGATAACTCAAGCAAAAATTTAGATATCTCAACGAAATTCGGTATGTAGGTTTGCCTTTATCCAAGGTAGGTTGATATTGAAAATGGGCGAAATTGGACTGTAATCACGCCCACCTCCCATATATTTTCGAAAAATGCAAAAACTACAATATTTCAGTAAATATTTGATCTAAATTGTTGAAAATTAGAATGTTAGGTCGAATTTTGGTAAAAAATAGTATTATTATGAAATTTTTAGAAAATGGGCGTGACCCCGCCCACATATGATGAAATGCTGTATCTCAGTAGCCGCTTCACCAATCTTTCCCAACCTCGGTACGAGCCTTGCCTAGGGTTTAGCTAAGAAATCTGATGAAAATCTTTGAAATCGGGCAATAACCACGCCCATATAACAGTAATTTACAAAAACACGAAAACTGCGATAAATTAGTAACTACTGAAGCTAATTGACTCAAAATCGATAGTTACAATAACCCCTTAGCCCACAATTATATTATTATACATTTTTGGATGATGGGCGTGGCGCCGCCCCTTATGACCACAAATGTGTATCTCGGTAACTGGTTCATCAATTTCTACCAAACTTGGTGCACTTAATAACCTTAGTACAAGGAAGAAATCGTTGAAAATTGTTCAAATCGGACTAAAATTACACCCACTTCCCGTATAACCGTAAATTTCAGACATCCAAAAACTCCGATATTTCAATAACTGAGGACGCTAATTTACTTCAAGTTAATAGTTACAACAACCTCTTAACAATAAATAAGACTGCTATAGACTTTTAGGAATTGGACGTGGCACCGCCCACTTTATGACTACAAGGTGTATCTCGGTAACCTGTTTATAGATTTCTACCAAACTTGGTTCAATTACTGCATTAACTCTAATTCAGCATATTATCAAAACAGTTTGAAATCGGGAAAACCCTCCTGCTTATCATGCAAATGCAGTTTAGAGAAAGTTGAATCGACGATATTTGATACGTGCGCCGGGTATATAAAGTTCGGTTTCGCCGGAACTTATACTTCTTTACTTGTTAAATCTATACTATATATAATTTATAATAGGCACAATCGATCAACAAGAAAAGATGGTAGGTACAACAAAAGAATACCCTTTGTAGCGCAAATGGTGGAATTTTCAAACCGTAAGCATTTTAATACCCGAGCGCACTTGTGCACAAGCGTATTATAACTTTGTTCACATAACGGTTGTTTGTAACAGGCAAAACGAATCGAGATAGATATAGACAAATGTATACATAAATGATCAGAATGAAAAGATAAATCGATTAAGCGGTGACTGTCTGTCCGTCCGTCCGTGCACACGATAACTCGAGTAAAAACTGAGATATCTTAACGAAACTTGGTACGTGCACTTCTGTCTGGCGTAGGACGGATGGTATTGGGGAAAATGGGAAAAATCGGACAATAACCACGCCTACCTCCCATATAACGGTAATTTTCAGAAATAGGAAAACTGCGATATTTTAGTAAATACTGATGATTATGAAAAACTAAGTATATTGTAAATTTTTGGAAAATGGGCGTAGCCACGCCCACTTATGGTTACAGTGTATGTATATCTTGGTAACCGCTGCACCAATTTCTTCCAAACTTGGCACAGTTGTTTGGCCTTGCTACAGAATACCAAATGGCCGAAAATTTAAAAAAATCGGACAATAACCACGCCTACATCCCATATAACGGTAATTTAGAGAAATACGAAATCTTCGATAAATCAGTAAATATTAAAGCTAATTTATTCAAAATTGATGCTTGCAACAATTCTTTACCAAGAAATACGTTTATGGTAAAATTTTGGAAAATGGGCGTGGCACCGCCCACTTATGATCACATATAAGTATATCGGTAACCGTTCTACCAATTTGTACCAAACTCGGTATGGTTATTGTACTTGCCACGTGTAAGCAAAACGTTGAAAATTATTGAAATCGGACTAAAATAACGGCCGATTCTCATATAACGGTAAATTTAAGAAATGCTTGAAACTTCAATATTTCGAAATTGAAGGACGCTAATTTACTCAAAATTGATACACCCCGGCTTACCATCTAGCGGAAGGTTTCGGAAGGGTGAAAAAACATATATTTAATACTTGCGCCGGGTATTTAATGTTCGGCTTCGCCCGAACTTAGACTTTCTTACTTGTTATTTTATACAATACAAGCAATAATAACAATTAACCAGTATTTAAAGAAATGACTGCTCCTTAAAAGTTCGTGTTAAGAAACTGGTGTCGCTGAAGATAGGCATGTTCAAATAAGATCGGTGTTTCCAAGAACCGGTTTTTTAAATTTGGTTTATGATATTTTTCAGTATTTTTTAGGGTTTTGCGTTTAAAACGAAAACCGAAAATTCGGTTTTTACATTCCTCAGCAATGTATAATTATTTCGCAATACGCGTACCACAAGCTTCAAATTAACTAATCATTTTTTGTTTGCTGATCTAGTAGCTAAGCATAATCGATTGTGAAGTCGATTGTAAATATAGAAATATCATACAAAGTTTGGAATTCGATTTATATGTCGTATGATAAAACATAACCATTATTTTAATAAAAAATTCACAAAAAATATTTACCATGAAAAACATTGGAAATGTTAAAAAAAAACAATCACTTTAAACTCAATTTTGAAGCTAATAATATATTACCATATACACAGGTATGTAATTATATTCATATCGCTCATTTACTTCAATAGTGTCATAATCCAAAAAATACAAATTTTGAGTTGAGTATGCAGAAATTACCGCCACCTTTTTTCTCTTCTTCTTCTTCTTAATTGGCGCTGTAACCGCCTAAGCGATTTTGGCCGAGTCCAAAACAGCACGCCAGTCATTACTCTTCTGTGCTAACTGACGCCAATTGAAAATGCCAAGTGAAGCCAAGTCCTTCTCCACCTGGTCTTTCCAACGCAGAGGAGGCCTTCCTCTTCCTCTGTTACCAGCATCGCGGCCCGCGTTGAATATTTTCAGAGCAGGAGCGTTTCTGTCCATCCGAACGACATGGCCAAGCCAGCGGAGCCGCTGAATTTTAATTCGCTGCACTATGTCTATATCGTTGTAAAGCTCATACAGCTCATCGTTAAATCGTCTGCGATATTCGCCATCACCAACGCGTAAAGGTCCGTAAATCTTTCGCAGAATCTTTCTCTCGAAAACTCCAAGAGCCGCCTCATCAGATGCTTTCATT